ATTGTGCAATTGTGTTAATGAACTGCCAGCACCATTCCCTCCTGCTACCACCGTACAATTGGGGGCACCTGACACCCATTTTACCACTCGATGATATTGATAATCGGATATGTATATACTCATATTGACATCAACGTAAATTGAATAACTGGAACCAAACTGTGTTAAACTGTTACCCAAACCGTTGCCTAGAAGAGACAGAAGTGGCTGTCTAAGCAGAGAAAAAGAGAGAGAATTGGTTCTTACCTCCCGCTACTGTCACGCCAATGATAGAATCTGGTGCCCAACGTTGAATTCTATAATTGTCTCGATCAGCAACATATAAATTATCATTTGTATCCACAAATACACTTGTTGGCCTATTAAACTGATTGAAACCGTTGCCACCCTGATCAGTGACGCCTGCTATTGTACTTCCATTTTTCTGACCTGATTGCCATTGTTGAACACGTTGATTATTGTAATCTGCGACATAGACGTTTTGATTCCTATCAATGGCAACATCATAGGGCGCTGATACTTGTGTTGAATCGGAACTATCGATGTTAATGACTTGAGCAGTATCATTCCACATATAAGATGAGCACACTGTGGGTACTGGTTGTGCTACAAATAGCAGTCGTGAATTAGGGTTTAGCCATCACATTTAGAACCGCCACGTTCGGTAGAAAAGCTCATAGTTAGAATAATTCTGAACGAGTATGATTCGAACAGTGATGTATTTGAAAGAGAATCGAAAATTGCTGTGTACGGGGAAATAGGAAAAGAAGTTTCGTTGACCTGCCTTCTACAAAATGATAACAGCTACTACAGTTGTTCAAAGGAAAAACGTTTATGTGAAACAATAATATTTGGCTCGTAGAGACATGTGATTGGCCAATTAAAAGCAAATCTACTTGTCTCGTTTTCTGAATACCGTTTCCTCGAGCGTTGAACGTGAGTGTAGATTAGGGTAAAGAGTGAGAGATTCAATTAAAGTTTCTAAAAAAGCAAGTCGAAATACAAGATTATGTACATTACCACCAGAATATGAACCATATTTAAGTCATAAATTACAAGAAATAATTACTAAATGAATTACTAAATTTAAAACGTACCATCGATATTATTGAATGCGATGTTAAGCAAAATATGTTGATGCCAGATGGAATGGATGTCAATCCATTAGGAACAAGAAAACTAACAAATATCTGAAGACTTGTATTTAACTATTTGAACTCGGCAGTAGCAAGAACCGAAAGCATCTGATAGGACTAAGAGAATACATCAGAATTTATGTTATAGGAAAAACGTTTATGTGAAACAATAATATTTGGCTCGTAGAGACCGTCGAAGTTTTTTTTCGGCTGTTTGCCGGAATTAAGTGTTGAACTGGGTACCGGAAGACGATTGGTCTTAAAGTTTTTCTTGTTGTGGGTACTGTTGAGTAATTTTGTGAGGTTGTGTTTGTTGTCTGTTGACTAGAGGGTGGAGATATGCAGTGATGTTTTCGCAATGTTAATGCTGAATAAATATGGGATAATTAGAATCAATAATAGTAGTAATGTCAAGTAAAACCTGCGCTTACAATTTACTGAAAAAGTTGTGAAAATCTTCCACTGGCGCGGTGGATTTTACAAATTATCTGCTGGTTTGGCTGTCTCCGATAGATTATTTCACGTTCCTACTGTTCAAGATTGGTTTTCTGCAGGATCGTGCAAGACTTTTAGTCACGTGCGCCACAAAGGTGTTTTTTTATTATACCTCGCAGAATTTTTCATTGTGCTAACCCTGCAGAACGTTTTTCTCTCTATTTCCGCTTGTTGGTAGAAGAAGTAACTTACTAGTTGTCTGACTCTTTGTGGTCGTTGTTGGAGCTGAAAGGTGACATGCCAAATTAGCACTAATATTGTTCAGTAGACTCTAGCTTCGCTACCTATGTCAGAGTTTTCTTGCCGCCAATGGAATTGAAGTGAATCAATGAGATCCCCCGATCGCCCACTGATGTATTTTAGTACGTAGCCGTCAAATTTCTCAGTAGACGTAGTTCCCGTAATGTTCGTTCCACACATCTGTTGACTCATTCTTCCACTGTTCGTTATAAACTGAATGCCAAGAATAAGTTTCATTCCGTAATATGTACCAGTTTTCACTTGAACGATAGAAATCTTTTCCTTATTGTTCAATGTAAAAGTGTCCGTATCACACAATGAAATGAATGTACTGCGATGTGTCGATATCGAAATTGGCGGATCGGAGTAGTACATCCGGATCGATCGTAGTAAACCTTCCTGACATTGTACGTTAATTTCGTATAATCGATGACTGTTAATCAAAGCGACAGATTCGGTGACTGTATTAAATTGTACACCTCCCAGTGGATTTCCAAACACTTGCCCGTGTCAGATATCACTCCTAACTACGCAAAGAGACTTTTCTTTAACTATCCAGATAGGACTACAAAAACTTACTGTCTGCTTCAGGTTTTTTTCCATAAAGAGCTTGTATAGGGCTGTGACAGTTACCATTATCGTTACAGTAACTGTAATTGCTGGTCGGTTATCGTTCTTTGTAACGGTAACGTGTAAGCAGTTACCGTACAAGTAACGGTAACTGCTCAGTATATCTTTCAAGAGTCAAATCTCTAAATATCTAGGTATCCAGGGTGAGGGTGAAAGTTCGTAGCCTCACCCTGGATACCTAG